AACCGAATTGGCCACCCTGCTAAAATATTTGCGGAATCTATCACTCTACTATTTCGAGGATTAATTAACAATCAAAAATTTAAAAGTAAGATTTGCACTTCGGTATATAGTTTGTTGTTTAATGGGCTTGGGCTAGGCTTTTAATAAGGCCTAGATTCTAAATACTTGGCAGTGAACACCAAAAGGTAATTAAACATAATACATAACAACAACAAAAAAGTTTAATAGCCATTTGATAATTTTATTCTCTCATGATGGTAATTAATTACTAGGTTAAGGTGGCTTTGATTAGCAACACAAAGGAAGACAAAGTTCTTGAAGGATAAAAAAATGTAGAATGAAATAAAGCATGTAAACTGATAAATTTAAAATAGAGATAATTTTTTGTCCAACAATAATTGGAATATAGATATTTCACAAAAAAAAATATCATAACTCACAAAATAATCAATTTTTTTTCCTCTTTATCTCTCCCTATATCTCTCTAATGCTTTTACTAACAAGGAAATAAATTGATAACCTCCTCTCTCTCTCAAACCCTAGCCGCCGCAAAGTTTTCAAATCTGGGTTTTTAAACTCGAACCGGCATGCAGTGGCTCTGATAGTACCGACGCCGGTCCGAGATGTTCTCTTTTAGTTCTTGTTTTTTTATTTGGTTTTTTTCGCAAAGTTTTATCGAAATTTCATCGTTTTTGGAGATCAAATCTCGTGGGGTTCAAGATTTGCCAGAATGATGGTGATACCGACTCTACTGAGCAACGGTGTGGTTGCGGCTACTGTCACCTACTTGTTTCAGCACCTCTTCTTCCGCCTTGATATTCAGGTGGTTTTCAGTTTTATGGGTTATGAATCCGTTCGAATCATGATCATTAGGTTAAGGATATTGGGTCATGGATATGTGGTCTTTGGGGCTATGTAGTTTTTGGCTAGGGATTTGTTTGTTGGTTCTGCATCGTGGTTCTATTGGATTATACCCTGGAGTTTTTCCGGAATAGATCATCATTCGCTTTTTGTTTATACTTAATAGACTGATTCAGGTATGATATTTTATTTGGCTTTTATTGAGGCGTTTACAAGATTTTCGACATCACTATCTCTACATAATTTCTAGTGGTATGAATTGTGCCATTGTTTTGCCGGAGTATGAAGCTTAGGATTTAATCTTTGAGAATTCGTGCTTTCATGGTCGCAAAGTCCGCTAATAGACATAAGAGCATATGATGACCAAGTTGAGATGTCATGATAGTTGGTGATATTGTTTATCACCTTAAGGTGAGAGATATTAAAATTCTCCAACATGAAGCTTTGTTCTTCTTGATGTATAACACATATTGGTGTTTTATTTGAAATTTTATTCTCTTTGTATCGTTTTTCGGTCTTAATAAAATTGCTATCCAGTGTTAAAAATAAATATTTTTCTAATGAACTGGTTAGTTTTTATATCATTTTTTTTTTTTTGTTATTAACCAACTTGACCCATTTTTTAATTTTCTTTCACTAAAACGCAGGCCATGTTAAAATTGTGGCTGAAATAAGTAATTGACCACCGTTTTGTGTTTATCAATTATCATAGAGTTTTTAAAAACATAGCCCACTAAGGCACTGACAAGGTCACAAGCAATCAATCAAATACAAACAAAGGAATTTATTCCAAATAATTCACAATTATTAACTTTTCAACTAAAAAATTATGAATAATTACGTATTCGAATCATAAGCATTAATTGAGTTAAGAGATTCAGATGTCTAAAATTATACTTTTCTTCCAGTAAACTTGAGACATCTATCGCCGGTGGTTATAAACAATTGTTTAAGATCTTCGTATAAATGATAAGTTAAAATAAGAAAAATCATCGTACATTTTTTAAAAAAGAATGTACATTATTAGTTGATCAAATTAACAATTTCAGACTAGTTTAGTAATTATAAAGATAATTAAAAATTAATTAAGGAAGTGGCCAAGTGCCAAAGGGCACGCGTGGCGATGCTTCTACGGTGATCTGAGAAAGACCTAAACACAGCTAATTAGTAATAAGGTCCCACTACACAGCCTGTGTTCACCTTTTCTTATATTTTTAACTTAAAAAGTTTTTTTATTTGTAGTTTAAACACAGAGAAGTTAGAGCTA